GTGCAGGCCTTAGCTATCTAAATACATAAATATGCTTGTATCATAGGACGAGTCAATAAAATTTCCTTACATAATAAATAAATTTCAATTATTTTTATAATATACAAGGAATTGCATAAAGTAAAATTATAAGACTAATTAGTTTGTTAAACTAACAATGATGATAAAGAAGAATAACTTAGAAGTAAGAGGACATATGCTAAAGTTACCGAACAAAACAACAGAATGTGCTTATATACGTGCGTTTATATATGTGATTATTGACGTAACGGCGGTGGTCATAATAAGACAAAAAATTATTCATTAATTAATTAATGAAAATATTTACATACATAGCATCATTTAATCTGTGATCATGGAAAAAAAATATTACATCAGGACTCAACTCGTAGAGTTACGTGCGAAGTCGAATGAAATCACGTCACGTAGAAAAAAAATTATCCGATAACACAAGAGAATATTCATCCCGTGTTATTCAAGTGTTATTGTGTGTTATTCATATATTATTGTGTGTTATTCAAGTATTATTGATGTGTTATTGTGTTATTATAACATCGGGAATTTTCTCAGAACACAATAACACCTGAATAATACGGAATAACATGAGGGGAATATTCCTTGGTATAACCGGGCCGGTCACCTCCACGACGTAATTTCATTGGACTCCGCACGTAGAGTGCAGAGTCCTGATGTAATATTTTTTCGCGTTTAAGAGGATGTATTTTATATTTAAAAGTCAATGATAGTGAATATGAAAGATTTGAATGTTATAAATAAAAAAACTAAAATTTAGGTGTTAGATATTTAAAAACATAAGAATTGAATGGTATGTATGTAAATAAGACATTCAAACAATTATAAAAAATAAAAAAAATAATGTAATAAAAGTAAATATAAAGAAAAAATAAAATTGAGGTTTTCAGAATATCATGATAGGTGTAAAGAATATAACTAGTGTTAGTCGATTTCCGGGGGTCACATTGCTTTGGCGTGGGACCAACGCTATCTAATATGCCGGCATTTTTCTTTATCTATAAATTTATTTAGCCCGTTTTTGGGTCGAAAAATAGAAAATGAAGAGTTCAAGTACGAGTTGAGGGTGGCTCGAACTCAATTCGACTTGTCTATACGTACCTTTTATGTTGAATGTCACAAATCAAGGGACTATGAGTGGTTCATTTGGTTGCTTTTATATTGGAGAGACGAGATGACTAATAAGATGGGCATCGGTCGTCATTGGCTGACAATCATGTGTTAGATTTTTGTCAGAATTGGATGAGAATGTCAAAAGTGGGATAAATGTTAATGATGATCATACACAACTTCATCAACAAAATTTTGCAAAGCATAACTATGTTTGATGACCAAAAGTAATTGTACATCAAAAACACATCTAATGAATCTCTAGAAACAAAAAAATACAAAGGAATAAAATTAAGGATGACCCCAAAGATAGAAGAATAAGAGCCCACTGATTGAAGTCCAAAGGTCCATCCAAATAGCATCAGAAGGCTAAGCATTTACTAGCGAAATACTAAAAGACATATCTGACCAGGTGCAACACCCCTAGGCCAAGGTTGAAGGCCGACCAAGCGAATGCAGTCCAAACCGAAGACTAAAAACTAAGAGGAAAGCGGAGGCATAGATATGCCTCTCGTCACACTTCAATTCAATGGAAGAAAGCATCATCCCTAACTATCTAACAAACAGCCTTGAGATTCTTCATTAGGGGCTAAGAACTAGTCAACACATAACCACACAGAGCATCCCCGAAGGATCGTCTCGTCAACGGGTAAGCTACCTATCAAGTTATAATGATTTACCCTCTACCCGATAAGCTAGCATTTCTTTACTGACAAGAGTTCTATATCCAAGGATCAATAGTCAACAACCATACTAGCTTAGCTTATTGACAAAACCAAGTCGATCGAATCAAGTCACGCCGACCCGAAAATCATCAAGGGTCGGCCGACAACCTCTATTCAGCTCAATCAAATAAAAAATTCTTGTCAAATCAAGACCAACTAATTTTAGTCGACCAAGTCAAAGTGTGGTCGAACTAAATGCCTATATACATAAAATCGCTAAAATATCCTCTAATGTCCCCATTAAAGCAGCGAAAATATGAAACTTTGTATATTGTACTGCCCTCATCTATAAATAGGAAGATCATTTCCTTATAAAAGGATAATCAATAATTTAAATTTTTGTTCATTATTATGCACTTCTCTCTCTCTCTCTTGTCTTGCACTCTATTCTTTGAGTGCGATTCACAGACAAATTCATATTCGAGAGTAGTCTAGGTCCAACAAAAAGGATGCTAGTTATAATTATTTCTATTCACTATCTCCATCATCATTAATAACAACTAAATTATTAAAAAATGTGCATGTTGATAGTGGTAGAGACAAGTTAATCAAGGTTGATGAGCTCTACCTTAACTTTATGTTTGGGATACATGAGTGATGACAACATTTTGTGCTAGTTGGCATACAATACTCCTAGCGCTATATGTGTTCAAGAAATTCTAAGTCAATTTTTAAGTTTGAGAATTTCTAACATGATCATACACACCAACAACCTTTAATTCTATAAACATGCTAATCCATATCTAGCACCCATGCTTCTTCCATGTGCCCAACCGCAAGGAAGATGGCTGTTTTGCCATAGCTTATTTGATTTTCTGAATGCTTATCTGAAGAGATGAGGTTTACAATTGTGTAAATGAGGACCAAACCTAAATCTTAGCAAAAACATTCAAAGACTTCATCAAGTATTTGAAGGATATAAATCATTTCAGAATGATAGGTTGGCTCTGCATAAACTTCTATTATTAACCTTTCATATTGGCCTATGGGACAATTGAACCAACTTTGACATATTGCAATAAGCCCTCCATTGATGTTATATAAGTACTGTATAGTGGCCTCTATGTTATGACATGCATAAAAAATATATTTGAATAGGTAGCTAAAACACTAATTAAAAAGTTTCATATTTGAGTATCAAGTGTTCTGTTTATTTGATGTCCCCTTGGCCTCTTATCAATGTATAAGGGCGGAGTAGATTTCACGAAGATGTTCTATAAAGTAGAAATTTTAGGACCGTCGCACCAACAATCAAGAGAAAAGGATGAGCATTAGTAATCACATTTATTTAGTTTGTTAGGCTTAATTTGACATAAATAATGCATGTACAAGTGGTGATATATGTAATTGATAATTTATATGTAATTTTTAATTGAATCTCATTTGTGAACAACTCTTATTTGGCTTGATAAATAAATAAACTAAATACACATGAAGCACAATGATTGGAAATAACATGAAGCATTCTAAGAAATTTGATTTAAACTCTCATTTCATGCCAAAATAATACACAAAATATTTGATGAACCACATGTTAAAAATTGTATTTTTCTCGTAGTTGGTCAACAAACTATACTTGATCTTATTCACACTAGGGGTGTAAACGAACCGAACACGAACGAACAAAGCTTGTGTTCGTGTTCGGTTCGTTTAAAATTTAGTTTGTTTGAAATAAGTTCGTGTTCGTTTCTTAACGAACGAGCCGAACACGAACCGAACGCGAGCTGGTCGCGAACGACGAGCCAGTTTGCCAACCCTAA